AGTTTCAACTACCAAGAACTTTTGAACTCCTATGTATGGGATTGATATCCACTGTTTCTTTTTCCTAAAGTAAATATTAAAGCAACAAGCCATTGTAACCAAAAATAAATTAAAACACTTCAACTAAAGAATATAAAATCAAGACTTGGGCAGATAAAATAGGGGAAGCAATCAAAGACTTCTTCAATGAGCACGTAACTCTCCTTTCTCCTCTCTTTCATCCTCAGGAAAGGCTGGACAATATTCCAACCTCTTCTGAGTTTGATATAAAGAGAATTTGAAAGATTACTTCCAACTTCCAAGGTGTTTTACATATATTATCTCATTTTACTTTCATTGTAACTCTTGAATTAATTTGTGAAAAATCATTCCATATCCAGTGATTAGAAAGGGGTTTAGGGACCAGAGGCTTTAAGAGGAAAAGATTGGGTTTGATAGAGTTAGTGATAAAAGGAATTAGAAGTGAAAGAGGAGGCTGGACAGAAAGTGGGATTTACACATTTGATATTGTAGAGATTCTCTTTCTGGTCAAGGGTTTGTCCTTGGTAAGAATTAGTTGAAATGGACTGGAGATAACAGTAACTTTAAGGCTAGGATGTCAGATGATGCCCTGTAGTACATATTGTAGCTATCTAGAATGAGGTGGGAGGAAGAGAGCTAAGAAGGTGCCAGAGTCCACTATGAATTCTAGTCCATTATAATTTCTAGAAATAATAGTGGTAAATATGAGGAATGTGTAGTATAGCTCAGTGTGTCTCAACTTTTTTCATGTCATGGCATGATATATTTCCTTGGGGCCTAGAAGGTATATGGAGAAGGTTGCTTGTGGTCAGAGGCCACTGGCCCAGAGGTGACAGCTGTCCTAGAACCTTCCTAGCTTCCCTAAGAGTTGAGGGAACAATATCTTGGTGTCTATAAGCTATTTATATTGCACTGGCTGAGGAACTCTGGTGTAGGTGAATGAACTACACCAAAGTAAAGTGCATTAAAAATGAAAAGTAGCCTGGCCAGTGTTGCCCAGTAGTTGAGCATAATCCTATGAACTAGGAGGTCACAGTTCAATTCCCTGCCTGGTTACCGGCTGGATCCCCAGTGTCAGGTGTGCAGTCGAGCAGAGCACTCCTTCTACAAGAAGCAGTACCACTGTTGTAATGTACCCCGCGAATCACACAAGGACGCCTCAGGAAGTCGAACTAAAGAGTCACATTTATTGCAAATCAACTGATTGATGTACTTCTCACATCGATGTTTCTCCCTTTCTTTCTCCTTCCTTCTCTCTCTGAAATCAATAAAAATACTTTTTTTTAAATAAAAAGTGAAAAAAAATTAAAAAAAAGAATCATTCCTACTTTCCAGATGAGGAAATAGAATATGATATGGCCAAGGTATGTACTAAGTTAGGTCTGAATTTTGATAACACAATTTTTAAAAACTAGAGTTTTGGAAATGAAACTATAGCATTACAGTAGAAAAGATCATATTGATAACTAAACCTTTTCTTGTTGCACACTGTTCCCCCCACTTTCTGAGTCATAGGTTATGTTCTATTCCTAAATCTACTTAAGGGTCTACAAAGAAGTATTAGATTACATTTTTAAACTTAATAAATTTCGACCTGGGCCTTCTCATCACTACCATCAAAATCAAGTCAGCCTTAGCCAGTTTTTCTCAGTGGTTAGAGTGGTGACCTGCAGACCAAAAGGTCTCATGTTCCATTCCCAGTCAAGGGCACATATCTCATTTACAGGTTCCCCAGCCCAAGTAGGGGTGCAGGCAGAAAGCAACCAATCAATGTGTCTCTATCTCAAGCTGATCTTTCTTTCTCTCTCTCTCTCTGTCTCCCTCCCACTCTCTATTTATTAATGGAAAAAATAGCCTTGGGTGAGTATTAAAGAAATAGAACATTTAAAGAAAATCAAAAGTCAACTACATCTCCATGTCAACTACCCATAACTGTTAAATAAGATTCTGTTGAATAAAATGTGGGGATAATAGCATGTATTTTCACTGAGGTAAAAACTGAACTGTGCTAAATGTCTTTTACAAATGCTCTCAAGTTTCACAACTCTATTAAGACAGTGTTATCTCTGAACTAAAAACTCAAAATTCATGAAAAATATCCAAAGAATTTTTCAAACTCTGATTCCCCTCTGATCTATTGGAAACTTACTTTTTTAACCATTAAGGATTTAAACAATTTTGAAATTTTTCTTTGTTTAATATATTTTTAAAAGGCATAGAAAGGACAAGATTTTACTGACTGTTTTAGAAGCCTCTGATGTGATCCTTTTTTTCAATTGTTCAATTTCATTTTCTTTTTGAGAGTTACTGGATATCAGTGCTTTCAGCTGCTTTTCTAAAGCTGCAACCAGTTGGTCCCGTTCTTCTCGCCACTTTTGAAGCTTGCCATCTTTCTCTGCCAGCTGTGCTGTCAGTGTTTCCTAACCAGAAATTAGAGAAAATGTTAAAGTATATATTGATAAAAGTTGTATATGAGATAAAACATACATACCATGCTAGTAGAATGTACAGTTCAAAATGCAAAACAAGTTTCACAATAAGGTAGGGATAGCCCTGTGGCAGTCAAAAGGAAGAAAATTTTAAGTTCTATACCGAGACAGAAATGTAATTAGGTATTTTCCAAATTGCTAAATAAACTGGAAAAAAAAAAAAAGAACATATGTGAACCTCAAGATAAAATGGGACAGAAGAGTCATCTTACTGTCATCCAAACCTACAGAAGTTTTGTAAGGATTTATCTAAGCCAGACTGTTGAGGGCATGCCCAGAAGCAAGATCTCAATGGATTGAGAAAATGCTCAGAAGAATGGCAGTTTTGCAGTTCCTTTTATGCATTAGCCAAAGGAGAAAACATAAGGAAGGTTACATGAAATCTATTGTGGCCAATTAAGGAGGCAGGAGAAAGCAAAGCAGGGACATTTCTAGGATTAAATAAAAGGCAAAATGGAGAAACATCTCTTTTACAGTGGTAGGTACAGGAGTGTTAATAGTTAACATTTACAGAGATAGCAGGCAGGGCACATGATAACAATGAGGGGTTCTGTGATCTCTTGCTATCGTGGTCTTGTGCTCTGGTGCCTGCAGTTGTGCCTTCAAGGGTCTAGAAAAAGATGCATAAGAACAATGGACAGAACTCACTTAGAGATTGACCTTTGCTAAGGAAGCTCTGGGCCTGTGACTCGACTACCTACCATGTCCCGTCCAATTAGGAATTTGTGATCAGAGCATACAGTGTGGTCACTCTTAGTCACTGAGCTTGTCAGGCCTGCCATGTGCTCCTCCATCCCCTACCCCAACTTGTCAGGTTTATTCTACAGCCCTTTTTTATTCACAATAAAAATAGGAAAGGTGCCTTTAAAAAAAAGAAAGAAAACAAACCATGCAAAGACAGATAAGAATCCCAGAGATAAACTTAACAAGCCCAAGAAAGCAGGTGAAATACACCAAAGAGAAAGTATAATTGCTACCAACCACTTCGTTTTGTTGCTTTAAACCACGCTCTCTGTCTTCAGCAAATTTTTTCATCTCTTTGTTTCGTAGATTCTCAGATTCTTTAGCTTGAGTGATTAGCATCATTTTCTCATCTAACCATTTCTTTCTATCAGAATTATATTTCTGTTCAGATTTCTATATATAAAAACAGTATAAATAACTATCAGATGCTTAAGTAGTCAAAAAATCTATTTTTATACCATTTTCATAAAACCCATCACTTTTTAAAACCTTAAAAGTGCTTGTCTTTCAACAATGACAAGATCAGTTTATTTCAGATTATAAAATAAACATTGCTGGTTTGCTTTCCTAAACACTATTTCCTTTATAAACTTTACTTTGCTAAGAAGTTCATTATTTAAAGACTTAAGTCAGTGAGCATAAGAAGAAATAAACAATTTAAATTCCTGAAAAAGTTAGACACACATCTTCCTAAATGATATGCCTGCAACCAAGGTACATGCCCTTGACCGGAATTGAACCTGGGACTCTTGAGTCCACAGGCTGATGCTCTATCCACTGAGCCAAACCGGTTAGGGCAATTTTATTGTTGAGAGTATTACAGATGGCCCCATTTCCCCCCTTTCCCTCCCTTTACCCAATCCTAGGCCTTCACCTGTCTACTGTCTGTGTCCATGGGCTATGACTAATTTGTGCTTCTAAATCCCTTCACCTTTTTTAGCCATCCCTCCAACCTGCCTCCCAACTGGCAACCTTCAAAATGTTCTCTGTATCTATGAGTATGGTTCTGTTCTGCTTGTTCACTCATTATATTTCATGTAATACTGTTTAGTGGTGATGAAGTCCTTTAGCTTTTTCTTGTCTGGGGAGCTCTTTATCTGACCTTCCACTCTTAATGATAGCTTTGTGCCTTGGCTGGCGGGCTCAGTGGTTAGAATGTCAGCCTGCAAACCAGAGGGTCTCGGGTTCAATTCCTGGTCAAGGGCATGTACTTTGGTTGCAAGTTCTTTCTCCAGCCCCAGTTGGGGCAGGTGTGAGAGACAACCAATCACTGTTTCTCTCTCACATCTATGTTTTTGTTTCTGTTTGTTTCTCTCTCTCTCTCTCTCTCTCTCTCTCTCTCTCTCTCTCTCTCTTCCCACCCCCTCACTCTAAAAAAATCAATGGTAAAAAATATTCTCATCCCAGGTTTCAGCACTAATAAAAATAAAAATAAAAAAATTCTCAGGTGAGGATTAACAAAAAAATTAAAATTAAAATAAACGGTAGCTTTGCTAGGTAGAGTAATTTTAGTTGTAGGTCCTTGCTTTACATGTGATGGTCATTTCTAATTGTATGGGTCTAAAAATAAAATATTCCTGGGTATATAAGATGCCAAATAAAAAATAACATGTGCAATAGGACAAACATTTATTCGTTTAAGGATCATTGAGAACGTCTGGATCAAGAATACAAATGACCAGTAATTTTCAAACTGGGTTCAAAGGCATCTAATTTATACATTCAAAACCCAAGTAAACAAGAACAATAACACCACTTTAAAATATATATCGCACTGTTTTTAGAAATATGGTAGTTCATTCCAAGATTATAAAGCTTATAATCTAAGATATGTGATTACATCATTTGAGAGCAATGCAAACATACCAATACTCCTAAGTATAAACATTCTCAATATAGTTCATGCATTTTTTTTCATAATTAATAGTATATTTACTTGGGGTTTTCACAATAAAGGGTAAATTCTAGAATATATAATTAACCCTTACAAAAGAAAGCAGCAATTTTTTTGTATTTGTTCAGTACCCAATTACATACAGCCTGCACTTAAGAAAATAATTTAGATTTAGTCAACTTTTCAAAATCATTATGTTTTCTTTAATCTTGAATCTAGTTATGAATGCAGCTCCTAATTTACAAAATTTTAAGCAGTGTTTGGTAAATCCCATTAAGAACATATTTCCCCTATATGTTATATTCCATACACAGTATGTTTGAATTGAACATGGGAAAAAATATAAACATCAAACAAAATATCCTATCTAATAATAGACAAAGATTGAAATTAACCGTACCTCCGCTACGCTTCCCATTGGCTAATCAGCGAGATATGCAAATTAACCGCCAACAAAGATGGCGGCCAGCAGCCACGCAGCTGAAGTGAGCAGGAGGCTTGCTTGCTCCAGTGATAGAGGAAGCCAAGCTTCCTCCCTGCTGCGGCCCGGCTCTGAGCTCCACTCTAAGCAGCAAAGTTGCAATTATAGAAGCTAAACAAATCCCAGATACCTGCTTTCAGTAGGCTGTGGCCTCGGAGCTGAAGCGGCAACAAAGTTTCAATTGTAGAAGGTAAATAAATCCCAGAATTAAAAAAAAAAAGTAAAAACAAGAGGCTGGGAGCTTCAGTCGCTGGCTAGCCTGAAAACCCTCC